TCTCTCTCTCTCTCTCTCTCTCTCTCTCTCTCTCTCTCTCTCTCTCTCTCGTGTGTGTGTCTGTATTGCACGCAAGCAAACACATACAGAAGCACACCCACCCCCCGCAACTGCAAGCTGAGAGCGTCTCTTCGTCCCCGTCCTTAACGCGTCACTACGGCAACGTAAGCCAGGTGTCTCTGGCGCCTGCATTAAAACGGCACCCTTACCGCGTGTTTCATTCGAAGAGGGTCCCCTTTCTTCCCCTCCGATCGTCTCTCTCTCTCTCTCTCTCTCTCTCTCTCTCTCTCTCTCTCTCTCTCTCTCTCTCTCGATCTATCTATCTATCTATCTATCTATCTATCTATCTATCTATCTACCTATCTATACATGTGTGCGTGTGTATGTGTCACTGTGTGTTTGTGTGTGTGTGTCTTTGCGTGTTTTTTTTTTTTTCTTTTTTTTTTCTTTTTTTTGTGTGTGTGTGTGTGTGTTGTCATATTCGCTATACACGCAAACAAAAAGTATGATTGTGCCAGACTGTTTCGTTGGACTTTCACCGACTCATCAAGAGGCTGAACCCCGACCGTCCGCCCAGGATGCATTTTACCGATGTATGAAGACTCACCACATTACCCAGACTTTACTCAGGCCACCCCTGCAATCCTAGCAGACTGTCGATGCAAACCCCTAACAAGAACGGCAGTAAGTCTGCGAAACTACAGTCGTCCCCGGATACAACGTACGGTCATTACAGCATAATTTAAGGTTTCTTTCAGTCGAAATACAGCTATAATGACCGAACGTTGTATTCGGGGAAACAGGGTAGTCTGGCACAGTCATAAAACCCACTCTACACACCCGCTCTGTGTGTGTGTGTGTGCGTGTGTGTGTGTGTGTGTGTGTGTGTGTGTGTGTGTGTGTGTGTGTGCGCGCGCGTGTTGCGCGCAGGGCCGCAGGCTCACACATACACAAGCACACGCATACACAAGCACACGCATACCCCCTAACTGCATGCTGAGAGCGTCTATTGGACCGAGAGCGAGGTCCCACTAGCAAAGGGGATTGGATAAATATCCTGAATCTGGACGTGTTTTAAGCGGACATGCAGAAAAGCAGTTCAATCTTGACCATCCGCACCTTTCCACAAACACGTCCGGATTCAGGTCTTCAATTCTATCCTCTTCGCTAGTGCGACCTCGCCCCGAGAGGTCGACTCAGCTTGATTGCGGTGCTCGAGTGACAAGATTGAAGACAAGGCCAAGCCTTCGTGTATGCTTCTCTGGTTTGCGGGACAGCCCGGACAGGTGCAGATTTGCAGATCTGTAACTGACCTGAGAACACGACTGCGTGCAGCCGCTCCCCTTTGATTTAGTTCAACGATATCGTGCATCATTGCAGCACGTTGCACAGTCGCTGAACAGTGCTGCGATGATGTTTCACAGCACGTCATCGTTTTTTTTGTTTTCCTCCTCCGTCTCAGCAATCTGAAACACTGTAGAGGTCGCCCTTTCAAAAAAAAAAAAAAAAAA